GCTCAAATGATTCTCTTACCTCAGCTTCACAAATAACTGGGACTACAGGCACCTGCCATAATGCCCAGCTAGTTTAGAGATGGGGTGTCACTCTTGCTTAGGCTAGTTTTGAACTCCTGAGCTCAGACAATCCACCCACCTCAGAGTGCTAGGAATACAAGTATGAGCCACCATGCCCGGCCAGATGGTCTTATTTTTGATAAAGTCCAGTTTATCAAGTTTTTCTTTTATAGCTCATGCTTTTTGTGTCCTATTTACCAAATCTCTCTAACCCAGGGTAATAGAGATTTTTTTTTCGTATGTTTTCTTTGAGGAAATTTATAATTTTAGTTTCCTTCTTTCTTTCTTTTTCTTTTTGAGACATGGTCTTGCTCTGTCACCTGGAGCAGGGGCATCATTGTAGTTCACTGTAACCTTAAACTCTTGGGCTCAAGCAATCCTCCTGCCTCTCAGCCTCCTGAGTAGCTGAGACTATAGGCATGAGTATCTATGCCTGGTGAATTTTTCTATTGTTTATAGAGCTAGGGTCTCGCTCTCACTCAGGCTGGTCTTGAAGTCCTGGCCACAAGCACTTCTCCCACCTTAGTCTCCCAAAATGCTAGAATTACAGGCATGAACCACCACACCCACCTAATTTTAGTTCTTATATATTATTTCTTGAATATTTATTTCCTGTTGCACCAGTTACATTTTTCTAAAAACTATTCTTTTGAAATTAATTTACCATGGCATCCTTTGAAGATATGTATTTGAAAACGTATGTGTTAGTCTACACGCAAGTACAGTTTGAGTATCCCTAACCTAGAAATCCAAAATCTGACATGTTCCAGAATGAAAGCTTTTTGAGCTCCAACACGAAGTTCAAAGGAAATGGTCATTGAAGCATTTCACATTTTGGATTTCTGGATTAGGGATGCTGTCCCAGTAAATATATAAAGTAAAATTCCAGAATCCAAAAAACTGAAATACTTCTGATTCCCAGCATTTTGGATGTGAGATATTCAACCTATACCACCCTGTCTTAATTACTGTAACATATTAAATGCTAAAATCAGGTAGTGTGAATCTTTCAGCTTTGTTCTTCTTTTTAATGTTTTGGTTATTCTAGGTCTTTGGTATTTTTCTATAAATTTTAGAATCAGCTTTTCAATTTCTATGAAAAAGCCTGCATGGGATTTTGCTTACCTGTTCATCATCAATATGCTAACAATATTGAGTCTTCTAAATAAATATAGTTTATCTCCCCATTTATTTAGGTTGTAAACTTTTTATTTCAGTAATGTTTTATAGATTTAAAGGGACAGATCTTACACATATTTTGTTTCACTTACCCCTGTTTTATGTTCTTACAAGGTAATGTAAGTGGTAGGTGTGTATCACATATTTGTTTTGCACTCCATTTTCCCATTGGTCACGGCTAGTTTATAGAAGTGTAATTGATTTTTATTTATTGGTTTTATATCCTGGGACCTTTGTAAACTCACATATTAGTGCTAATAGCGCTGTTATAGTTTGGCATTTTGTATGTAAACAATCACATAATTGTGAATAAGGGCAGTTTATTTCTTTTTTTTCCAATCTGAATGCCTTTAGTTCTTTTACTTGCCTTACTGTATTTAATGTAGAGTCTTCAGTATAATGAATACTAGGAGTAGGAGGGCAACATATTGCTTTTATCCTGATCTTAGGACAAAAGCATTTACTCCCTATTAAGTATAAATTTACTTGTAGGTTTTTCATAGATGGCCTGATAAAGATTGAGTCTGTTTCTTTCTAATCATGGTTTTCTGAGAGTTTTATCATGAATGAATGTTGCAAATGCTTTTTATGAATCAATCTATATGATTATGTTTTTTCTCCTTTAGACTACTGCATCTTATGTAATTACTGATATTATTATTTAGGTCTACCATTTTATTACTTCTTTTCTGTTTCCACCCTACCCCATATTTAGGGAGTTTATTCTTGTTCTGCTTCATCATTTCTTCTGCTGAATATTTGTCTGTTTTTAAAGTCTATTTTACAATAATTGAAGATACCCATGCACTTGTAAGAAATAATACAGAGAGATCCCATGTACCCTTTACAAAATTTCCACCAATGTTGACATCTTGCAAAATATATTGCAAATCACAAGGATACTGACATTGATAAAATCAAGATACAAAACATTTGCATTAAAAAAAAAAAATTTGCATTAATACAAGGATCCTTCATATTGCCATTTTATAGCCATACCCATTCCTTCCCACTCCTACCCCTTCCTTAAGCCCTGGAAACTACTAATTTGTTCTCCATTTGTATAATTTTGTCATTTCAAGAATATATAAATGTTGTCATACAGTATTATACCTTATAGGATTGGTTCTTTTTACTCAGTATAATTCTCTGAGTCTAGAGATTCATCCTGTTGCGTGTACCAATTGTTTTTTTCCCTTTTGTCACTGAGTAGTATTCAACCAAGTGGATATAAGACAGTTTGGATAACCATTCGCCCACTGAAGAACATTCCTATTGTCAACTTCATTGATCTCTGCTCTAATTTTTATTCCTTTTCTTTTGCTTGATCTTTCTTCATTTCTAATATATGCAGTCAGTGCTGTAAATATCCCTCCAAATGCTTTGTGTCTCACAAATTATGAGATGTTGCATTTTTATTAAAAATATTTTTAAATTCCCCTTAAGACTTATTTAGATGTAAGTATATGTATAAATTTCCAAATATTTAGGATTTTCCAAGTTTATTTCTCTTACTGATTTCTGGCTTAATAATGTTATTATACGTAATATGATTTCTTAAAAATGTTGTACAGTATAAAACTCAGAATATGATCTATCTTAGTGAATGTTTCATATGCATTTGAAAAGAACATATATTTTGCTGTTGTTGGATGCAGTGTTCTATGAATGTCAATTAGGTGAAGTTGGTTGATGGTTCTGTTCAGATTATCTATATCCTTGCTGGTTTTCTGTCTCCTTGTTCTATCAATTATTGACAGAAAGAGTGTTGAAGTCTCCAACAATAATTGTGGATTTGTCTGTTTCTCTTTCAGATGTATCCATTTTTGCCTCATGTATTTTGAAGTGCTGTTATTAGGTACATACACTTTTAGGATTGTTATTTCTTCTCAGAGAATTAACTGTTTTATCATTTAATGTCTTTCTTTGTCCCAGAAAATCTTTCTTGTTCTGAAGTCATTGTCTGAAATTAAGATAATTACTCCAGCTTTCTTGTGGTGATGTTTATCTCCATCCCTTTATTTTTTTAATGAATAGACTTTTAGTGTACTTTTAGATTTACAGAAAAATAGACCAATTAGTATAAGAATTTTCTTATACCTCCAGCTACCTCCCTCCCCTGTTTCCCCTAATGGTAACATCTTGCATTAGTGTGGTTACATTGGTTACAATTAATGAGTGAATACTGATAAATAATAATAATGATAATAATATTATTAGAGACAGAGTCTCACTCTGTTGTCCTGGCTAGAATGCCATAGCATCATAGCTCAGAGCAACCTCAAACTCCTGGGCTCAAGCAATCCTCTTGTCTCAGCTTCCCAAGTAGCTGGGACTTACAGGCACCTGCCACATTGCCCAGCTGGTTTTTGTATTTTTAGTAGAGACGAGGTCTCACTCTTGCTCAGGCTGGTCTCAAACTCCTGAGCTCAAGCATTCTACCCACCTCAGCTTCCCAGAGGGCTAGCATGAGCTACCACACCCAGCCTTGATAAATTATTACTAACTAAAGTCCACATTTTACATTGAGTTTCACTCTTTACATTATTTAGTTCTATAGGTTTTGGCAAATGCATAAAAGCCCACCATTACTCTATCATGCAGAATATTTTCACTGCCCTAAAAATTTCCCTGCGCTTCACTTTTTCATCCTTTCTCCAACCTCCTGGCAAGTACTGATCTTTTTACTAACTATCGTTTTGCCTTTTCCAGAATATCATATAGTTGGAATCATATAGTATGTAACCCTTTTCAGACTGGCTTCTTTCACATAGCAATGTGCCTTTACATTTCCTCCATGCCTATAGCTTGATAGCTCATTTCTTTTTATTGCTGAATAATATTCCATTGTCTGGATGTAGAGTTTGTTCATTCACCTACTGCAGGACATCTTGGTTGCTTCCAATTTGGGGCCATTATGAATAAAGCTGCTGTAAGCATCCATGCTTAGGCTTTTCTGTGGACATAAGTTTTCAATTCATTGTGGTTCATTTCCTTTTGAAGGTTGTGATTTTTTTACGGTGAACTCCTTTTCAGTGAGAGTTCTTTTCCATGTAAATTCTATGTACCCCAAGCATCACTGAAACTGAACTGTTTAGATAGTGCCCTTGCTGGGGACCAATTTTTCACTAATGCAGGACCAATTTTTAGGTGAACTTTTCAATTTGGGGGGTTTTGTATTGTATCTCAAATGTCCATTTGGAATGCACTCCTTTGTGTGGTACAGGACTATGGTTCTGATTTCTTGTAAGAAATCCCTAATGCTTCTTAGCATTTTCATTAGCCAGTGGATGGCATCTTTCTAGTTCCTATTTTATAAACAAAGGTGTCCTTTGTGACTGCTAGCTTTAAGCAGATAGCTCAGTTCTTATTCTCTGCATGATTGTGCCCTATGGCCTGGAATTCAACCCATACTCGTGATTTGCACCTTAATCCTCCAACTGCGAAGCCAAGAGCTTCAAGTTCTGTTCACCCCCCCCCCACTTTAAATTCCTTCTTCATTTTTGTCACATAATAAATTTCTTTTCTTCGTTTTAAGCTTGGCTGCATATTAAATTATTTTTGTTATACTTGGGCCAGCATTTCTTTGTACTTGCATTCACTGGAGGCAGTGGTGGTGGATATAGGGAGGATCCATCCACATCAGCTCAAGCTATGTTGATAGGAGTTCACCACAAGGCATTTAGGGGTTAATGTTATCCCATAACATTATGGTAGAAAGATTTATAATAAGTTTACTGATTCATTGCATTTTTTTCTAGAAGTCTGGCAAGTTGATGAGCAGATAGATTGCTACAAGAAAAGCCAAGACAGACCTCTGTGGCAAGCTGCATTCATAGACAAGGCAACGCTGAAAGATGAAAGTGGTCATAGAAAAACCATTTATCTGAGCCCAGACTTTGTTTCTATAAGACAAAGACTCCCCAAATATTATTCATGAGGAAGGTGTTCAAAATATAATTTAAACTTCCTTAGTCAAAATAGAAAGAAAGAGGACATATTGGAAATTATGCCTCCATCTTAATCATCATAAAGCTCAGCCTGCAAAGAACATTTTGAACCCTAATCAACAAGGAAAAGCCTTCCACCCTAAGTGAGCCCCTGATAAAGGAATTTAGATTGGGGAGAAACTCTATGAATGTACTGAATGTGGAAAAGTGTTTATCCAGAAAGCAAACCTTGTTGTATATTGGAGAATTATTAATGCTGTGAATGTGCAAAAGCCTTCAGCCAGAAGTCAACCCTCATAGCACACCAGAGAACTCATACAGGGGAGAAGCCTAATAGGTGCGGTGAATGTGGGAAGACCTTTATCCAGAAGGTATTACTCACTAAACATCAGAAAATTCATATAAGAGAGAGACCTTATAAATTCTGTGACTGTGAGAAAGGTTTCTGCAAGACGTCAATTCTCATTAAACTTCAGAGGATTCAGACAGGGGAGAAACCTTGTGAATGCAATGAATGTGGAAAATCTTCCAGTGTGAAATCAAGTTTTGCTGTACCTGACAGAACTCGTTCAGGAAAGAAACACTATGAATGCAGAGACTGTGGAAAAACCTTTGGTGGGAAAACATCTCTCATTAAACAGAGAAGACATTTCAAAAGATAAAACTTAAAATCTATGATAAACCTTCAAGTGGGATAACTATGTCCAACATTTACAGAATAGTGCTCCTGTACCTAGTTTCCCTTTCCATGGTTTTAGTTACCCATAATCTAAAAATATTAAATGGAAGATTCCAGAAATAATTCATAAGTTTTAAATTGTATACCATTCTGAGCAGTGTAATGAAATCTTAAACATCTTGGTCCATCCTACCCGGATGTGAATCATTCATTTGTCCAACATATCCATGCTGTATGCCCTGTCTGCTTATTAGTCACTTGGTGGTTATCTCAGTTATCAGATCGATTATCATGGCATCACGGTACTTATATTCACATCACCCTTAATGGAACCAAAGCAGAGGAGTAGTGATGCTGATGATCTGCATATGCCAAAGAGAAGCCATAAAGTGCTTCCTCAAAGTGAAAATGTGAAAGTTCTTTACTTCCAGGAAAAAAAATTTATATGCTTAGAATGCTAAGATGGTAAGAATGAATCTACCCATGAAATTATGAAGAAGGAAAAAGAAAATTGTGTGCTTGTTTTGCTGTCACACCTCAAACTGCAAACGTTGTGGCTACAGCACATGAGAATTGCTTAGTTAAATGAAAAAAGGCATGAAATTTGTAGATGGAAGACATGGATAGAAACATCTTCCAACTGATAGCAGTCAGATTCAGTGTTATCCACAGTTTCAGGCATCTACTGGTGATCTTGGAACATATCCCTAAAGGGGACTACTATGCATTGTTATACTGTATCAAAGAATTCACTGAGTAGTCATGTAAATCTATTAATATACATCAGAAAGCCTTCAGATATCACTTAGCCTTCATTAGATTTAAAAATCAAAGTTATAATATTCAAAGCATGCAATAAATGTGATACTCTTTTATGCATGAATTGTCTGTTTTCGTATTTTTTGAGACAAAGTCTCTATCACCCAGGCTGGAATGCAGTGGTGTGATCATAGCTCACTACAGTCTCAAACTCCTGGGCTCAAACAATCCTTTCACCTTGGCCTCCCAAGTAGGTGGGACTGTAAGCATGCACCACTACACCTTGCTAATACGGCAAATTTTTTTTTTTTTTTTTTGAGACAGAGCCTCAAGCTATCCCCCTGGGTAGAGTGCCATGGCATCACACTCACAGCAACCTCCAACTCCTG